TGCTCAGGTTAACATGAGCTGAGATGATGATGATGATGAAGGACTACAGGAACGCACCTGCCTGCCTGCGGACGGTAACAGCTTCTACGTCTTAGGCTTTTGGTTACAAAATGGAAATTAATGTTCACTTCAACAGGCTATTGGAAGAACTAAATGAGGACTGCTCGGTATGCAGCAAGTGCTCGATAAATGCCCATTTCCTCTGTACTCTATCATGACCCATGTATGCAATCAATAAATATTTACAAGTGCCCAAACTGCGTGTCTGGCAATGTTCCAGATACTGGGAACGCGGCAGAAAAGTCCCTGTCCTCTTTAAACCGAGGTTTTGGTAAGGGGGACAGACGTTAAACACACACACAAGACAGCAGACGGAGGCACTGACACCATGAAGAGAATCAGCAGGGTAATAGGCTGGCAAGTAACAATTACAGCTGTCGTCTGAGTTGGTACCTGAGTTGACATAAAGGAACCAGCCATGAAAATGAGAAATGAAGGGCAGTCCTGCCTGAGAACTTCCAGACTCAAGTTCAAAAGTGGGAATAAGTGCTGTGTTTCAGATCAGTGCCATGTGGAGCACAGGGGAGAGAAGGTCAGAGAGGTTAGCAAACGGTCAGATTATATAAGGTCTTAGAGTCCATAATGAGAATTTTCGAATTTCTTCTACGTAGAATAGGAAAATACATGGGGGAGAGGGGAGGTAATTAGGGTTTAATGCCTAAACTGTGAAGATTTAAGTCAAGGGCTGATGACTGCAATTAAACCACTCGTATGATATTATGTGTTCCTAACTATATGGGGCACTGGACAAGAAAGGAAAAGGTGTTTGTGACGTGCCTGGCAATCAGAAGAAAAAAAAGTACCTTCAGATCAATCAGCTCATAAAACTCCATATTCTAGAGCTAAGGAAAGGTTAGTGATCATCTGGTTTAACATTCTACATTTAAGAGTAGTGCGGGGGGTGGGAGGGGTGGCCTGGGTGGCTCAGTCGGTTAAGCTTCCAACTTCAGCTCAGAGCCTGGAGCCTATTTCAGATTCTGTGTCTCCCTCTCTTCTGACCCTCCCCTGTTCACGCTGTCTCTCTCTCTCTCCCCCCTAGAAATAAATAAAAATATTTAAAAAAAAAAAAAAAAGAATCAATGGTGTGGAATCACCACCAGATTCCAGTGACATCTTTCATAAGGTTAAGACCAGAGGTGACCTGGTCATTACATCATTTATATTGCATCATTTAATACTTGAAATAACCCTGTGAGGTACACAAATGAGGAAATTAAGCCTCAAAGAATTAAAAAATGTGCCCAAGATGACCCTGCTGGGGACTCTGAGAGCCCAGGTTTCAACTTGTCCTCCTTCAAAATCCACTACAGTGTGTGCTGCTAGAAACTGTCTTACTTAAGTACAAGGTACAAACACTAATTTTGCTACTGTCAGTGTTTTATGAAGCTCAGACACACAGTATGCAAAGAATGCTTACTAACAGAGGGGTATCTGTCTACCAATAAAAGTACAGGTATGTCAGGCCCTGTGCTAAAGAAGTGGCTTAATTTACATCTTTTCTAGTGAATTAGCAATTTAACATAAAGCCAATTATGGGTGCCTGGGTGGCTCAGTCGGTTAAGCATCCGACTTTGGCTCAGGTCATGATCTCACAGTTCATGGTTCAAGCCCCGTGCCGGGCCCTGTGCTGACAGCTCAGAGCCTGGAGCCTGTTTCAGTCTGTGACTCCCTCTCTCTCTGACCCTCCCCTGCTCACGCTGTCTCTCTCACTCTCTCTCTCTCAGAAATAAATAAAACATTAAAAAAAGTTATTAAAAAAAGCCAACTATAAGCCAAGCACAGAAGGAATCCCATTTCCTATTTAGGAAAGAAAATCACTGGCGAGGCTGCAATGTCAACATGCTGGGCCCCACAGCAATAGGCTCATTCTGAAAAGGACTCACAAATACATTAAGGTAACTTACGGACAGACTGCTATTTCCCTTTCCGTAAAATCAAGATAAAATCACCCACCCATCCACCTGCACTGTTTTTAGTCTATTTACTACGGTTATGATTTATGGTTCACTTATGGGTTTGTCAACTTAAAATGGCACTGTGATCTCTGACAGCGTCTTCTGACTTTCCTTCAGGCTTGAGAGAAACAGCAACATCTGGGCCCCAAGAGCTGCCAAACAGCCATGACTGCCTGTTATGCGGTCAGCAGCAGAGCCAAGGGTGTCATGGAACTGACCCAAGTCTAACTTTTACCACACGGTAGCCAACATGATGGTTCTCAGCATGCTGTCACCCCCGGGAAAGGCGTCATGGAGTGAAGTACAGATCCAGACAGGTCTCCTATATGCTCTTTAGATACATTACAGAGTATATCCGCGCAATTCTGTGTAAGTCACTAATTTCTGTTCCCAATCCTTATCTCTAAAATGAGAGGATTGGGGCGACTGGTGGCTCAGTCAGTTAAGCATCCGACTTTGGATCAGGTCATGATCTCGCAGTTTGTGAGTTCAAGCCCCGTGTCGGGCTCTGTGCTGACAGCTCAGGGCCTGAAGCCTGCTTTGGATTCTGTGTCTCCCTCTCTCTCTGCCCCTCCCCTACTCATGCTCTCAAAAATAAACATTAAACAATTTTTTTTAAATAAAAAATAAATAAAATGAGAGGGTTGATAAGATCTCAAGTCCCTTGTCCTAGTGAGATGCTCTGATGGTCTTACAGCCTGTGGTTAGAATAACTTCTTGCTCTAAAATTTCATAATTCTTCAGCATGTCAAGCACTGACATTTTGTATATCTATAAACAACAAATATCAAGTTGGTCTAGGACAGAGTTTTTTTAAGTGGTAGGTTACTGCTCATTAACAGGTAATCAAATCAATCTAGTGGGCAGTGAACTACATGAGAAAAAATAAATCGAATGGAATGTACCAGAATCAAGCATCGTAAAGCCTCTGCTTCAGTTATATATAAAATATATACACACCTACGAATGGTAATGGTTCCTACATAAAATGTGTTTCTTACTATGTTTCTTACTCTTGTTCAAAATGGTTTTAAACTTACGGGTCTACAAAGATCTTTAGAACTATAACCAATGTTAACATTTAAAATATATATGTACGCAGGTATTATATGTAAGTATATACATACTAATTTTAGCTAAAGTCATTTAACACATTTGAAACAATTAAAAAAGGATCCTTATTCTTTTGTTCTACGACATGAGATCAGGTGATTATACTTTTTTGTACTCCAGAAGATTCTCTTTCTCTTTGTTGATTTGCCAACATCACCTAACTATGAAGGAACTGGCATTTCATTCCTACTTAATCCCTGGTCTTTTGATTGATGCTGCCCACAGGTCCCATAGAAGTCAGTTTCTTCTTTTTTTAAAAAAAACATTTATATTTTTTTTTGAGAGAGACAGAGAGCAAGCATGACCAAGCGGGGGAAGGTCAGAGAAAGAGGCAGACACAGAATCAGAAGCAGGCTCCAGGCTCTGAGCTGTCAACACAGAGCCCAACACGGGGCTCGAACCCACAAACTGTGAGATCATGACCTGAGCCAACGTTGGACACTTAATGGACTGAGCCACCCAGGCGCTCTGCCTAGTAACCAAAGTTTCACGATGAGGGTCACCTAGGCTCAAGCTCTTTGGGATGATAACCTGGTTTCAACTGGTCACTAGGAGGGAAGAGTGGGGGTAGGCATAAGAGAGGTAATTAGATGCCACACTGAAACAATCTAAGTGACCTCGAGGTAGGAGCCAGAGACTTTCCTCACGCAGGCTCTCTCTTCTCCTTCAGCCTATAAGGCTCCTGGAGCTTGGCTTTAGGACTGACAGAGACCCCTACAAAGTGAGAATGTTAACAGGCTTATTTCCAAACATGTCCCATGAAAGCTGAGACTAATTCGGGATGGTTGGAATGAACCCTGCCCCTCACAGCTTACAACCTGTTGGAAAGATAAGAAGTTATAAAGAAGGGGGAGTGACTGGGGGAAGCAATTAATCTTTCTGGCTGGCCAGAACAGATGGATGGATCGTTCTGATGCCATATCTTTCTCTTCTAAGAGACAATTTCATAGTCACATTTTTAATTAATATGTACTGCATCATCATCTTAGATTTTCCTCTTGTGATTATCTTCTCCGTGTTATTCATTACTACCCACTCTGGAGAAGTGTCATTTGAAAATGAGTATGGGGGGGGGGGGACACCTGGGTGGCTCAGTCGGTTAAGGATCCGACTTCAGCTCAGGTCATGATCTTATGGTTTTTGAGTTCAAGCCCCACACTGAGCTCTGCGCTGATGGCACAGAGCCTGCCTGGGATTCTGTCTCCCTCTCTCTCTGCCCTCCACCCCACAAAACAAATAACTTAAAAAATTAAAAAAAAAAAGAAAGAAAGAAAGAAAGAAAGAAAATGACTATCAGACATTGTTTCCAGCACAGAAGGTGAATAGAACTTCCTAACCTTAAATACTCTGGGCTTCAATTCAAAAACTAGAAGCAGATGTTCATCATTTGTTGGAATCATTTATCTATTCAGTCAGCAAAAATTTCAGAGTGCTTTCTTTATATACCCAGTCCCGGTGATAGAAAGATGAAGAAGAGACAGCTCCTGCTGTGGCTTCTTCTTTTAAAAAAAATTTTTTTTTTTTAATGTTTATTTATACTTGAGAGAGAGAGAGATGGATGGAGACAGAATCAGAAGCAGCTCCAGGCTCTGAGCTGTCAGCACAGAGCCTGACGTGGGGCTCGAACTCATGAACCGTGAGATCATGACCTGAGCCGAAGTCCGACACTAACCGACTGAGCCCCCACGTGCCCCCGCTTTGGCTTCTTAAGTCCTCTGTGACACAAGCAGTGGGTGTGGTGCTGGTCTGACTTGGAGGTGCCTAACCCCAGGACAGAAAGGTCTAGCAGAAGGGGTTTTCCTGCCTGTTTTGACACTGCCGCTCTAGCAACCAGAGGAGCAGCCGCAAGTTCAAGTGTCAGGCCACACTTACTGGCTCCTCCGTATTTAGAGGGATTGTTGACTCCATGTCCTCCCACCCAGGAAGGTGGTTCGAGGTTGCGGTGTTGGTCACGAGGCCGCCATTCTGTGCCTTGATGCCATTCGTTCTCTGGCAAGTGGAAGGGACGTGGTGAAAGAAGAGGCTCTTCTGTGGCATAGGCAGGAACCAGGCCACGGCAAAAGCCACCGAAACACAGGTAAGAGAGATGACATTCAGGCTGAACAGGGACCAGCCCGCCACGGAGACCAGGATTTGCCCCAGGACAGAGCCCACTGTGAAGCCCACCAAGGCGGCGCTGCGGCAGTAACTCGTGACCTTCTGGTACATGCTCAGGTCTACCACGCTGTAGATGTAGGAGTAATAGGCGATTTCCGTGGCCGTGGCGACTCCATAGAAGAATTCCAAGAACTGAATGGCCAGCAGTCCCTGGGCGTAGAGCAGCATGAACCATGTGACGATAAGGCTGAGTCCCTGGAGCAGAATAACGGGTTTGTACCGGAGGTAGTCTGTGGCCAGGAACACGGGAAACAGCAGCACCAGGTACGAGTACGTCCACACTGGATAGATTTTATTGAAGACCTGACAGAAAGAGAAAGTTAAAAACCCATCAGCGATACCAACGGACCTGGAATATGCGTAACAATGTATTCGCATAAAACAACCTACCAACACCTCTAATAAATCCTTATTAACTAAAGAAATCTCAACGACAATTCTGATAATTGTTTGGAATATACCTCCCCATTTCCACCCCATCACCTTTTTCTTTTTTTAAAAGTTTATTTCTGGGGCACCTGGGTGCCTCAGTCAGTTGAACGTCAGACTTTGGCTCAGGTCATGATCTCGCGGCTTGGGAGTTCAAACCCCGTGTCGGGCTCTGTGCTGAGAGCTCAGAGCCTGGAGCCTGTTTCAGATTCTGTGTCTCCCTCTCCCTCTGCCCTTCCGCCACTGACGCTCTGTCTCTCTCAAAAATAAATAAATAAACATTTAAAAAAAATAAAAGTTTGGGGCGCCTGGGTGGCTTAGTCAGTTAAGCGTCCGACTTTCACTTAGGTCATGATCTCGCGGTTCGTGGGTTCGAGCCCCGCATCAGGCTCTGTGCTGACTGCCAGCTCAGAGCCTGGAGGCTGTTTCGGTCTGTGACTCCCTCTCTCTCTGACCCTCCCCTGCTCACGCTGTTTCTCTCTCTCTCTCCTAGAAATAAATAAAAAAAACATTTAAAAAAATTTTTTTAAAAATAAAGGTTTATTTCATTTGAGAAAGAGAGAGAGAGAGAGAGAGCAAGCGCGCATGCATGTGAGCACATGTGAGCACAAGGAGGAGACGGGCAGAGAGAGAGAATCCCAAGCAGGCCCCACACCGTCAGCACAGAGCCTGAAGCAGGGTTCAATCTCACGAACTGTGAGATCATGACCTGAGCTGAAAGCTAGGGTCAGATGCTTAATGCTTAATGGAAGGAGCCACCCAGGCGCCCCACCTATCATCTTTTTCTTAAAATCCTCCCCATTCATCAAGGCCTAGTTCAAAGCCTTCCTCACCCGGGAAGACTTTGCTGGAGCGGATAATATCTGCACTGCAACATTCAGAGCTCTCCTGATAACTGCTCTCTGTGTCTGTCTGCCCAATAACCTCATAGCACTGGTTCCTAACCATGGCTGCACATCTCCCACGCAGCCTTAAAAAATGTGCACGCCCAGCCAAAGGCAAGCCTTTACAACCTCCCAGGAGATTTTCCCTGAGCCAGAGCTGAGGACCACTGCCTCACAGGGTAGACTCTTCAAGGGCTGACCCAACATTGACCTGCACAGCCTTACAGTTCGCGTGTTGTGTGGCTCATCAACTCTTACTTCTGGCCACAGAACAGGGAGTCTTGATCCTACTGTTTGATTAGGTTTCTCTGCTTTTAAGTTCTATTTCTTTGGGGGAACAGGTCAAGGGGTTACGTCTGTCCCACAGTCTTGACAGAAGAATTATCTGTGGATGACAGGACTACAGGCAACTTTGATGGCCTTCTTTTTGCTTGTCTGAAATATATATATTTAAAAAAATAAGATACTTTTGTTTTCTTTTTAATGTATTTTTAAAATTGGGATAAAGTAGAAATATCTTTACAATAAGCGCTCTACCATAAAGACCTCGCTGGAATTTCACTCCCATCATTTGCTGGCAAGGGTTTTTTGTTTGATTGTTTGAGTTCCCTATTGCCTTAGTCTCTGTTATCAGTAAAAGAAGGGTAAGCCTTGTACCAATGACTGAGTGAGAGGATCCATGGAAATCACTTATTCCACTTTACTGGAGGTCTGAAGACTTGAGCTGAAGCCGACCCTTTGGGACAATATACTAAGTAAATCAACTGAACTGCCATCCTCACGCTTGCAGCATCAACTGTAGGAGACTCTCCCCTCTCTGACTCCAGGGTCTAGCAAGGGCTTGGTGGGGATACAGGCGAGCCAGGTTTTTAAATGACCATTTCAAAGTCTGGATTGGTGGCCCCAATTTTTAAGTGCTTTCTGAAAGGTGGTCTTTGCTCCATGGCAAAGGATTTAGCCTGGTGCCCTCCCTCTAATCTCAGACCTGGACAATCTAAGGCCAAGGGTAACTTTCTTTTTAACTCTCACGTATGCTTCAGTTCACCCAAATGTAAAATGGGCTAATTGTTTCAAGGGTTTAGAGGAACAATAAAAAGTGAACTGTTATAGGATCTTTTGCCAGTGCAGAGCACAACTGTAAAAGTTAAATATGGTCCGAAATTTATCCCAGACTTGGTTTCTGCTTCTGACTGGCCAGATAACCAAAAGTGGTTTGTCGAGGGGTGCCTGAGTGGCTCAGTGTGCTGAGTGTCCAGCTCTTGATTTTAGCTCAGAGCATCCCAGGGCCACGGGACTGAGCCCAGCACCAGGCTCTGCGCGGAGCGTGGAGCCTGCCTAAGATCCTCTCTCGCTCTCTCCCTGTGTCCCTCTCCCTTCTGTGTTCTGTCTCTCTCTTTACAATTTAAAAAAAACAAAAAACAAGAAACAGTGATTTGTCTAACAGCTTCACCTTCATGAATTTTAGCCAGCTGGTATTTGCATAAATCATTTAGCAATCTCTACTCAATCAGGAAATTTCTTGCACTGAATAGGTGTATGAAAAGAATAATCATGAACTGTAGAAATGACTTGATGCAAAGGTTTGTAAATTTTAGCAACTGAAGGACAAAGTGCACTTGGTCCACACAACCACAGCGTGAGACACCTCAGCAGAAAACCAAGGGGACAGGGAAACTTTGGGATAAAAGCTGCTAAGAGTATTTGCACGTATAGGAGGATTAGGAGGAACTTAATGGAGGACCGTGGGGGAGAAGAAGGGGGGAAGTGGTGGGGGAGAGGGAGGGAGGCAAATCATGAGAGACTCTTGAATGCTGAGAACAAACTGAGGGCTGAGGGGGGGGGGGGGGGAGGGGGGAGATGGGCATGGAGGAGGGCACTTGTGGGGATGAGCACTGGGTGCTATATGGAAACCAACTTGACAATAAACTATTTGTGGGAAGAAAAAAAAAAAAGCTGCGAGGAGTAAAGGCTTCCCTAGAGACCTCACGGTGCTTTCCACGAACAACTCCCCACTCCCTTTTGCCTGTGGTTTCACAGCTGGTCCCCTATAGTTTCCTACATGTGCAACTGCCCCTCTGACTCCACAAGATTCACAGCTGGTCCCCTATAGTTTCCTACATGTGCAACTGCCCCTCTGACTCCACAAGATTCCTCACCTTCACGCTCTCCCCAACACAACGCCACAGCTGTTAGCCATCACACCTTTCATTTAAAACTACTCTCCGCCACTGCCCTCAATACCCCAAGCTCTTCTGTTCCCATCACACCCTTCGGGATTGGACTCCAGTAGTACTGTCCGTACCTAGGCCTGTTCTATACCTTTCAGTAACAGCTGTCCCGAAATGATTAGCTGCAAGGTTTTCATTATATAAATCTTATCTTTTTTCTTTTTTGAGAGAGAGAGAGAGAGAGAGAGAGAGAGAATGAATATCTCAAGCAAGCTCCATGCTCAGAACAGAGGCCAAAGTGGGGCTTGATCCCACGACCCAAAATCAAGAGCTGGACACTCAACCAACTGAGCCACTCAGGCGCCCCTCATCCTTTCAATTATCAACTTAAAATGCTTATATTTGTAAGTCGAATTCACTCCTAACATAAAAAACACAACCAAGATAATAAAGATGAGGAAAAGGAACACTGTAAGGCCAAGTAGTAATGAAATTAGAGGCAAGTGGGGTGGGATGGGAAGGTGGGGGAAGAGACAGTTTCTCTTTTACTCATTCTAAATAAAAGACCTATTTCATCTCCAGGGAGAGAGATCAAGCCAGGCTGCTGAATGTCCCTCTCACAGCGTTATCAGCTTTATAATAACAAACGTCCACGGATGTGCCACATGCTACGCTAACTGCCTTACCTAACATGGCTTCATTTAATCCAAACAAACACCCTAAGTGGTAAATGCTTTTATTATCTCTATTCTACAACTGAGGAACCGAGGCCTTACAAAAAGGTTAAGTAAATTATCCAAAGTGAGCACAGCTAGTACGTAAGTGGTAGATGGAGGATCAGGGCCTTGCTATTTTGAATCCACATACTAAAAGGCCTCATTTCTTCAACTGGAAAACTGTAACTGACCATCTACTACGTTCCAGGGTTACTTCTATTGCCTGTGGCAACGTTTTCAGGCTGTATGGAGGTGCTCTGACGGTGCAGTCATGAAGACACAAAGACCACACGATCTCCAGAGCTCGGCCAGCCACTGGTTGGCCCAAAGATCTCTTCTCTTCCAGTGCTGCCAAGGACAAACTGTGACACCAGAAAATGTTTCTTCGATGGATACTTTTAATCTTGAAGGGAAACTTCCTACAGGCAAAAATGTACACATTACAGACTCTCATTGTCCAAACCCTAGACAGTGCCTTCTTATCTCCGGTAAAATCTATCGTGTGAGCAAAGGGAACTGATTTTATTGTAAGGTGCCTGCCCCCATTCCTTAGATCAGAGCTCATCTGCGCTTTCTTTCTGAGACACAGAAAGTCGAGAGAAAACAGATGTTCATCTTAAGCTCTAATTTGATTTAGACCTTATTTTAGAACCAAGTTTCAATTAAACAAGTAGCTAGTAAGGTCTTATTTGCACAACACTTCAAGCTGTATGGATTAAAAATAAAATAAAATGAAATAAAGCTTCCGTTCTTCAGGAATTCTGAGCCTAATTAGGATACATATTCATATGTAATTGATAAGAGAGATAGGAAATCCGTACCTTGAAAGGAGGAGAAAGGTAGAGGCTAACAAAAAGGCAGATAGGTACGGAAGTGTATTCCAAGCAGAGATCACGACTTCGAGCACAGGCTAGTAGATGAGAGACTGGATATACTGGATTTTGGACTAGAAGATTAATGTGGATGGGTACATGAAAGAAGGCAAGGGGAAGAAAGATGCAGCAGAAGCTCTTACTCCCATAACAGCCAAATTCTGTAAGACTCTGGATAGCAGACAGAATAGGTAGAATGTTTAAAAAAAAAAAAAAATCAAAGAAAGGTGGTGAATGTCTGTGAAATCACATGCTAAAAAAGATGAAAGAGTAAAAAAGTGCTGGCGAAATGGGAGCTCTATTTTATGAGACTGGCTTTCAACGATTAGAACACAGTCCATTTTTAACCTATTTAAAACTTACATAGCGGTAGAACCTAAAAGAGGCTAACATTTTTCCTAAAATCTAAGACAAAACCCTTCAGGCATGCAAAGGGAGAAAATTCTGTCCTTCTTTTGTTTTTGGACATGGTTAACCATCGCTCCATTTAAGATGATCGAAGATGGCCTTTCTAACGTTCTCTAGGGAGTAAATAAAAACTTCAGAACTTTGCTGACCATGACCTGACATTCGCTTTGCCTCAGAAAGCAAGCGTTAGCTCAGGAAGGAGGACAAGTTGTCTATTTATTTCTGTTTTTAGATATTCAAAAAACCCAGGGTTCCAGAGAGGGTGAGCAGAGCCCCACCGTGAGCCAAGGGCCCAGGTACTCACAAGTGGCCTCCTTGCTAGACCACCAGGCGTCTCTTCAGACTCTGCCCTCCCCCTCCCCCAACGTGCAGCCACAGGAACCTGCTAGATGTTTGTTATGTAATCAGCAAACATTTAGGGGGCCTCGCACCCCTGACTCCATCAGTGAACATATTCTCTCACCCCAGAAGGCTCTGCGTAGACAGGGCACATGACGGCACATGACCTAACTCTCTGCCCAGGGCACATGACAAAACAGATCACCTTTCAAATGTCAGCACGCAGAGCGTGTTTCTCCTATGTGGCCCTATGTCCAGCAAGGTGAACAGACTGTGTAGGTCACATCGCAGCTCACATGAAACTTTCATTACACGCAGCTCAGGAAGTATCACTTCTGCTTCAGGGTCAGTGGTAGCTCTGGGTCTCCAGAATCATTCGTCCTCATATTTACTGCAGTCATTTTCTCCTTGTAAAATTATTCTGTCCATGATCTTAAAATGTTAACGATGTTGACATTCAAACAGGTAATGAATAGCGGTCACAGCCCTTTGGGGGGTGGTCCAAAAGACTGAGAAATACAAGATGTGAAGTTGGGTAAAAGCCGGTGATGCTTGCTGGAGGTAAGACAATAGGAGACGTTCAAATGAAACCCTCAAATCCAGCATTCAACACCGACTTTCAATTCCCTGCTAAGCGTCCTTGAAAACGGAAAGGTAAAGCCAACAACAAACTGGCCTGTGAGTAATTCTATCCTGCTCTGACCTGTTACACAGGGACAGTGAGCTGCTACTCAAAAAAGGTGATTACTAACCACAGGAAGAAGGGTCAAGTTTAAATGGAGGGAGTATTTCATAGCAACGGGGGCAGGGAGGGAGGGAAGGAAGAGTACGCATCGCGGGAAAGAGAAACGTCTACTCAGCGCCCACGCATCCTTCACCCCGTGCAGGGTTCTAGAAAAGATACCAGACCTCAGCTTTCACGCCTGTGGCTGAACAACAAAACTAACATCCATGAACCAACAATTCACAATGCACGAAAACTATAATTAAGTGCCAATTACGTGATACCATCTCAGTATCTGCGTTTATCCCAGGAGGTAGGATCTGGCGGGGGGGCGGGGAGGGGGCAGCATGTCCTTGGACAAAGTCTCACCTAAATAAAAATCAAAACTGATGAAGGTGATGGATGGTTGGTTGTTGTTCTGCCCTTACCCGAGCACAGCCAGAGCCTCACCTACTTAAAAGTCAAAACTAATTAAGGTGACGGCTTTGTCTGCTGCTATTTGAGCACGTCCATGCAGTCGAAGGTGGGTGCAGCTGGGAGACGGAACGTCCCGGCAGAAAGCGGGGGCTAATCGGCACCTGCTTCCCCGCTTGCTTCTTTTTCAGAAATAAAGTTTCCTCACGTCTTTAGAGAGCGCGCGCGCCACGTGAGCAGCGGAAGGGCCGGGACGGAGAACCCCAAGCCCACTCCGCGCTGAACCCCCAAACACGAGACCGTGATCTCAGCCGACACCCAGACGCCGACGCTTCACCGACGGGGTCTCGCAGGCACCCCCGTCTCCCCACTTTCAATCAACACTCACTAAACCTGTGTGCAAAGCACAACCGGCTACTCGCACTTTCTCACCCGAACACCCCGCAGCGCCCCCTGTCAGCCCCCCGCCGAACTGCCGGACCGACCCGCGCGGAGCCGCAGAGCCACGCGGGGAGCCCCGGAGCCCCCACGTCCCCCCGGCGCCTACCTCCCGGTCCGTCAGGTTCTTGTCCGGCCCCAGCAGGTAGGGGGTCAGGAAGGGCTCGGACGGCCTGAGGTTGGCGAAGAAGCCGCAGGCGCACAGCAGCGCGGTGGGCAGCAGCCAGCCCCCGCGGGGCCCGCGGGCCGTGCGCAGGAGCAGCGCCGCCGCGCGCCGCGACCCCGGGCCGGGCACAGCCATGCGCGCGGCGGCGGGCGGGCTCGCGGCCCGGCCCCGCGCCGCTCCGTCTCCTGCTCCGCCCGTCGCGGGGATGCGCGAGCGCCGTCCCCGCGCGGGCGCCCGGAACCGCCGGCGGCGCCCTGCGTCCTTCGCGGCGGAGCCGGGTCGCGCCGGGCGGTCGGCGGCCTCCGCGGGCGGCGCTCCTGCCTTCGCGGCTCGGGCGCCTCACACGCCGCCGCCGGAGCGCCGCCGCGCGAGCCCCGCCCCCGGGCCCGCCCCCGCCGCGCGAGCCCCGCCCCCGGCCTCCAGCCATTCGCCGCCCGAGCCCCGCCCCCGGCCTCCAGCCATTCGCCGCCCGAGCCCCGCCCGAGCCCCGCCCCCGGCCTCCAGCCATTCGCCGCGGACGCCGGGAATCCGACTCCCCTCCCGCGGGGTTAGTGGCCGGGAGGAGGGGAGCCCGCGCGCGCGGAGCGCCGGTCCGCCCACGTCCTGGCCGCGCGGCCCGCGCCGAGTCCCGGAGGAGCCGCGGCGGGGGGCGCGCGTGCGGGGCCCGGGGGCCGACCTCCACCCGGGGGTGCGCGCGCTTCCGCACGCCCGCCCTCTCCCGCGCGCAGTCACAGCCCTCTGGGCGCGCGCTTACTCCGCCTCGCCAGGCGCGCCCCTGCGGCGGGGCCGGGGGGCGGGGGGAGAAGGCCACGCCGGGCCGCCCGGGCTCTCGGGGTTTAAACCGCGTTCGTCTGCCGTAGACGGACGCTAGCAAGCCCAGGTCCAAGCACGCGGGGCGTCCACCGCGACACTGAACGGAAGAAAGCGGGTAAAACACTTTCTTGACCGTGAACGAGCAAGGCGCTCGGCAGGGGCCGTAACGGAGCCCGACGAAGGGCCTGAGCGCAAGCCGCGTGCAGCGTGGCCCTTGCTTAAAGGGAGGTGGGAAATCCGGAGCCATTAAAGCAATCAAGAAATACCGATCTCTTCATGGAAAACAGAGTCCTGGCATAAATGTTCAAGGGCAACGCACGGCAAGAGTACGCAGTGCGTTCTCCCGTCTCCCTGAGACTGTGCCCGACGCAGCGCGATTCTGCCCCGGTAACGCCCATTGCAACAGCTGCGCTGAAGGCCGTCTTTCCTGCGTAGTATCTGCAGAGCAGCAGATCCTGCAGAAGCTCACGGCGCATGTTTTGAACTCTCTATTTTGCTTTAATAACGTATGTTACTACACATCGAGCTCAGTTTCCTCCTGTGACAGCAAAGAACACTCCTTGCAACGATATGATACATCAGCCACAGAAATGAGTCTAGGGCATGGAGTGACCTGCTAGGAAAGGGAAGGATTCGTTTTTAAGGCGGCATAAGTGAATGCACCAAAACATTTACATCTGTCGGTGGTATTTACATCCGTCAGTGAGCCTCAGAGTGTGATCCAAACAGCGCTGGGAGTCCTTGGAACCTTTTCAGACTTCCAGAAGGTCAAACTGCTTTCATAATAAGACTGGCCTTTGTTTCCTTTTCCACTCTAGAGGCCACCTGGTACGTGATGACATCATTACTCCAAAAGCAAAGAGAATGTGTACTTGTAACTTTTTGTGTTTAATAAACTTTCCAGATTTAATTTCTGATCTAGAAACCAGCAACAGGAATAAGCCAAAAAACAAAAGTCTTTAGGGCCCTCGATAACAAGAATCTTGAGACCAAAAAGTGAGAACATCTAATTCTCTATAGCACAATTAATCGAGTCCCCTAAACTCCAGCCATACAATTTACCTCTCATCAGGACCCCAGAGGGTGCTTTGTACGTTCAGTGCTGCAGCAGAAGAGAAGAAGGAACGAGAAAGAAAAGCAGGAGAGGCCTCAGAACGAGAAGTCTACCTGCTCAGAACAGCTTTCTGTCCCTTCCGCGAGGCTTAGAGACCTGAACTGTGTTAATCTGTAAATCACTGGTTCTGAAAAATTATCCTTGGCATGAATCACTTACGCACCTTAAATCCTCTTTGCAATGTTGGGCGTTAAATAATAATTGTTCTGGTTTGTGTAGGAAATGTTTTTATTATTTTTCTCTAAGAGGTCACGCTAGGCAGAATTCTAAGAATGGCCCTCAGTGGCCCTTGCCCTTGAATAATCCGCACTCCTTTCAGTGTGGGGTAGAACCATGAATCTGATAAGATAATGCACCTGCAATGTGAGATTATCCAGGTGGGCCCAATCTAATCTCAAGATCCTTTTAAAAGCAGAGAATTTTCCCCTGCTGGTAATGGAAGAGAAAGTCAGGGATATTTGAAGAGTGAGAAAGATTTGATACTGCTGGCGGGGGTATGTGCCAAGGACGTGGGCTCCCATAGCAGTTCAGACCGACTCAGTTGACGGCGACTCAGTTGACGGCCAGCAAGAATCGGGGGTTTCAGTCTGTCAGTCAAAGGTAACTGAGTTCTGCTAACGACCTAAAAGAGCTCGGAAGTAGATTCTTCCTTGGGGCGTCCAGATAAGAGTTCATCCTGTCCAACACCTTAATTTCTCTCTGTGAAACTCTAAGTGAAACTTCGGAACACACCGAAGCCCACCTGGACTTCTGATCTACAGAAGCGTGAGCTAAATTGTTGTACTTGAAAAAACAGTAATAAAATTAAAAATAAAATGTAATATTATTACATTTTTATTTCATTAAGCTATTACATTAAACTGTTATGTTTGTGGTAATTTGCTATGCAGCAATAGGAAATGAGTACAGAGGAAAATAGAATATATTTTGAAATTGAGGTACTAGTCCACATAAGATTGTCCATTAACTATATTTGTGTGTACAACTCAGGGCATTAGTACATTTACATTGTTGTGTAACCATCACCGCACCGAGTTCTAAGACGTTTCCCCACTCCAGAAGTAAACTTGTAGCCATTAAGCAATTGCCCCCCCCCTTCCCTTTCCCCCAACCCCTAGCCAACACGAATGTGCTTTCCGTTTCTATGATATTAGCTATTCTGGATGTTTCATACAAAAAGAATCATACAATACGCAACCTTTTGTATCTGGCTTCTTTCATTTAGCATAATATTTTGAAGTTTCATCAACGTGGTACCAAGTATCAGTACTTCATTTCTTTTTATAGCTGAAACATACCTCATTTTATGTGCATAACACAGTTTGTTTATCCATTCATCAATCAGTGGACATTTTGGGTTGTTTCCACTTTTTGGCTCTTGTCAGCAGTGCTTCTGTGCGCATGAGTATGCAAGTGTGTTTGAATACCTGTTTTCAATTATTTGGGGTACAAAGGAATGGAATTGCCAGATCACTGTTTAATTCTGTTTCCTATTTGAGGAACTGCTGAACTGTTTTCCACATAGCTGCACCACTTAACATTCCCACCAGTTTCTCAGCCTCCTTGCCAACACTGGTTTCTTCTTCTTTCCTTCTTTTACTGCCACTTCTTCTTCTTTTCTCCTTCTTCTTCTTCGAAATACCTGACTTAAGGAGTGTGAAGTGGTAGCCCGTTATGGTTTTCATTTGCATTTCCCTGATGACTAATGCTCAACAGGAGCACCTTTGCACCTATTTGTTAGCCATTCATAAATACCTTTTTTGAAGAAATGTCCATTCAAGCCATTCAAGTCTTTTGCCCACTTTTGATTAGATATCCAGTTTGTCTTTTTGTTGTTGGGTTGTAAGAACTCTTCATATATTCTGTATATTAGACCCTGATCGGATATATGATATACAAATATTTTTGCCTATTTTGTAGGTGTAAATAAACTGGTGAGGGACATTTTTTCTCTGTTAATATATAAAAGCATGTGGGGATGTGTGTTTTTCAAAAAAAAATTATACGCTTTTGAATCTTGCTTTCCTCAGGAATAATTTGTAGAAAAATTCTATTGTGATAAGGTTAAGCCCCATTATGTGGGTGCACTGTAATTTATTCAGCTATTCCCTATTTATGACCATTGACTCTGTTTCTAGTTTTTTGTTCACTGTTAACAATGCTGCAATTAACATCCATGTACAATATATGTCTATGTATTGTTTGCTTCATATTTATGGGATTTATTTCCAGAGTGGGAGAGCTGGGTCAGAGTATACGCATTTTTTATTTTAATAGGTATTGTTCAGTTTTTTTCCATAAACCAGCGACATATAAGAGTATTCCTTTCTCATGCATCGTTGCCAACAATAGATGTAATCAAGTTAAAAAAATATTCTCTAGTCTGATAGGTGGAAAATAAATGGTTCCTGTCTGGTAATGGTTTTGTCTTCTCCAGCGTCTGGAGATATTTTTGATTGTCGTACCTGTTGATCATGGTGGGGGGAGGTGCTACTAGATTCTAGTGGGCAGAGCCAGGGATTCTACTAAACATCCTATAATAATCAAGGCACCCCCCCCCCAACAAATAGTCATCCAGCCTAGAATACCAACAGTGCCAAGGTTAAGAAACCCTGGTATAAAGAGATACCTCCTCTTATCTTCAGTTTGAAAACCTTTATGGGTGAGTTTGAACATCTTTCCATATATCCATAAATTACCTATTCTTGTCCTTTGCTCATTCTTCTTTTTAAAAAAATTTTTGAATTTAATGTTTATTTACTTTTGAGAGAGAGAGAGCAAGCACGAGCGGGGGAAGGTCAGAGAGAGAGAGGGAAACAGAATCCGAAGCAGCTCCAGGCCCTGAGCTGTCAGCACAGAATCCAACGCGGGGCTCGAACTCACCAACTGTGAGATCATGACCTGAGCCGGAGGCACCCAATTTACTTATTTTTCTTTTGGTTGTTTATCCCTCTCTTATCAATTAATAAGAGACTGTTATATTTTATAAACCCTGTAGTTGTCCTTTCATCGAAAATATTTTTAAGAATATACTTTTTATTGACTTGTTTATAGTTATCTTTTGCCAAATAGTAAAATCTCACTGAAGAACATAATAAAACAAGGTCTAAACAAATGGTAAGACATACTGTGTCCTTAGGAAAACATCATAAAAATGTCTCTTTCATAGGGCGCCTGGGTGGCTCAGTTGTTTGGGCATCTGACTTTGGCTCAGGACATGATCTCATGGTTTGTGAGTTCAAGCCCTGCATCAGGCTCTGTGCCCGGAGCCTGCTTCAGATTCTGTGTCTTCCTCTCTGCCCCTCTCCAGCTCATGCTCTGTCTCTCTCTGCCTCAAAAATAAATAAACATTAAAAAAAATTTTAATGTCCCTTTCTGTAAAATT